TGTGTGTGTGTGTGTGTGTGTGTGTGTGTGTGTGTGTGTGTGTAGAATACCGATACATAAATATACGTTTAAATATACAAAGAGAACGATTTGGTTGAATAAAAAATTTAACGCTTTAAACACTTCTTTGGAATAGCCCAAACGAATTTTTTGATTGATCGAACGAAATTTTGATTGAAGCAATAAAAATATTTATTTGCGGCTTAGTTCCAAAGAAATATTTTTGTTGTGTCAACCGAATAATTGTTCGGACTATTCCAAAGAAACATTTATTTGATTCAATAAATCGTTCTCTTTGTGTAGTTTGATTTCTTTTTTAATTCAAATATTGTCGATGAAAATATGATGAACATTATTGTGAAGAAATATTTACTGTAAAATTTTTCAAGAATGAAAAGAGAAACCTCTTTGCATAATCGATAGATGTCACTTCAGAATGAAATCAATTTCTTCTGTCTTGAAAAAAGTTCGTCCTAAAGAAGCTAACAGTATAAACAGAACAGCGATTTAAGAATGCCACGGGACAATTTAGTCACGATTCGCAATCTCGGTAGACCTGCGCGAGAAGAGGTGTCAAACGTCACCAAGTTATAGCAGCGGATGCCACGCGCGTCGTTCGTCACGAATGGAAAAGTCGCGCTGTGTTAGAAAGTCGACGATGTAACTCCCGCGCTCATTCGAGCGACAAAGGGCGATCCACTCGTGGCGCCGCGAGTGAGACGACGAGGGCGGCCCGATTTATCTTGCAAAACTAACTCATAGGCAATTCTCTCGCGCGGACTATCGGGGGCGGCTCCCAAGACGTCCATTTACAACTTTGCCCGGGGAAAATAGAGTCTTACGTGCAAGATTTACATCCTGCTTTGTCCCGGCGCGCTGCCGCTTGTGTAACTTGCGGAAGCACCCTTTCGCGGCGGTGCTCGCGCGTTACCCCCGCGCGCATAATGGCCGTGAATTAATAATTCGCGTCGAAGTTCCCCGCATGCCCCAAATGTCCCATGTGAAAAGTGTCACGGGATCGTGCACGGGGATTGTGTGTACACGTAATGTGAGCGAGAATCGAATCGATCATTATTCATAGTGTGACTCGGGCGAACGTGAGTAATATCGGCTTTGTTCCGTTGGGTACAATGAGGCAAAACTGTTCAGTCATCTTAACTCTTGGCCCACAACATACATTTCGGCAAAGGATGGATTTTTACGAGATGAAATTGACGCGAGAGACCGCTGTTTCTTACATTTGTTAGCACGCGTTCGATGCACGCGGAGAAGCTTGTAGTTAAAATTACTGTAGAATTTTGTGACTGAGGAATAGGTGGACATTTTGCAGTAATTCATCGTACTTTCACTTCACATGTCCTTTTTTTTGGAAACACTTAAATATGCTGTTAAAAGGTTTGCTATGTCCCTAGCGAAATTTATTGCGTACCTTAGCAAGACAAATTTCACTGGCAGTTTATTCCTGTACTATTGGAAACTTCAGAAAAATTAATCGTGACAAATGTATTAATTTACGTAAGAAGAGAGTTGCCAAAATTGTACCGATGTTCTAAATCGTACTCTCATCAATTTCTTTATTATTATCAAATAAACGACATCTAATGGCAAAAATGAAAAATAAGTGAATAATGAGAAATGTAAACAAAAAATGTTCAGACTATATATCTTATTTTATGCCATCAACATTCAAATAAATCAAGTATAATTGATTGATAAGGTGTACGAACTAGGAAATACCGATACTATTTCGGCAACTCTCTCCTCTGTCTCAATTGATCACAAATTTTACCGGTTTGTACCGATTTACTGAACTGAACGTTTCCAAGCTACACCCCCGAAAGAGACGGCTTGAAAGCAGTGAAAGCATAACATTCGAGCACACCTGGCAACGAGAGGTGGAGATTAAAGCATCTCCCACCCCGTTCATCAGCCACGTCCGCGTCGTCGCTACTTACGACGCACTTGGCGGCCGCCGTTCGATTTATATCCGCTTCCGGCCCGGAACGGCTCTCTCACGCTGAGAGAGCGTGGGAAAGCCGCCCCTCGCACACCGGATCACCGGCACTCACGACGTTCGCGTAAATGACGTTCCCTGTTCGCGTTTCTTCCAGGTACGCCGAGCCGAAGCGCTACTCGTCCAACGGCCGGGACATGACGGTGGTTTTAAGACGCGCCTCCAACAGTCCCACCGACGAGGAATATATGGAGGTCTCGTACTACTTCCACGACGGTAAGTCGTCGTCTTGCTCATAAAAAGAGCGTCATCAACTTCGCCATCGTCGTCATCAACTTCCTCGTCGTCGACGGGCGGTCTGGTCGCGAAAAGCGCGCCGTAGTTATCGCGCGCGAACTTGAACGGAAATAAGAGGTTGTGCACCAGAAATTGGATTATGAGGCGTATCCGCCGCCGTGGCCGCACAATCAAGCCCGCGCGTAAGCGCCGCGAAATCGCAAAAAGCTCGTGAACTTTTTCGCGCGGTACTCTATCGCCGGTATAGTTTGCTTTTTGTTCGTCGTCGTCGCGAGTTACGAGCGCAATCGCGTTCTTTACGCGCTTCCGAGAAGCTTCTTCATTTTATACCCCCGGGCGGAGCCTTAAAAAAGATCGCGCAATGTGATTTACGTATAATTCCGTATTTTTCTGTCTTCCCGAAAGCACCGGAAATCCTTCGAATAGTAAAAAGAAAATTGTATACAGCGGGCAATCGAATGCTTGATTCTCTTTACAGTGATATGGCACGTTTCTCTGTTCAAATGTTATAATAATGTACGTCCGTCTTTGATAATTGCTACACGGTATAGTCGGTTGCAAGTTGGTTTGCACACTTTTTATCGAATGAAATTGCAACACTTGAAATTGTCAGAATCGAAAGCCACTGCTGGCATGCGTACACAGCAAAGTTGTAAAAATGTCAATAAAGTTTTGCTCAATTTGATAATTGATTTAAAGAAATATGTTTTAATTCAACTGATTGACGATTGATTCGAGCAAAATTAATTAATGAATATTTAATTCATGATTTCAACGAATTCAATTAAAGATCATTCAATTGACAACTGATATAAACGAAGGAAATCAAAGATTGTTCAATTAACAAATTCAGTTTAGCAAATCTAATTAAGGGACGTTTAGTTGACGGTTGAACTTAACAAATTTAATTAAAAATCGTCCAATTGACGATTCATATAACCAATTAATTCAACAAACTTCTAGAAATAAGACTCAAATAGTGTCCAACTAAATTCAATTAATTAAATCCATGAGTATTCGATTACTCAAGATTACAATTGACTATAGTTATGTAAAAATAATCCAACCCACACGAAGTATGTTTCGAGAAAAACGAAGATGAAAATTTGATACATGATTTAAAAAGTATAAATCGCATTGATCTTTTTGCTATCGTTCAAGACGTCAAGCATAATCATTGATAAATTTAACCCGTAGAAAAATAAATAAAAAAGACGCAACTAGTAAAAAGTGGCGTAGTTAAGAAAAAAATAAAAATTGTTTAATTAATTTTAGATGCCTATAAGATCTTTTTTGTTTGAAGTAGAAAGACGTGTAAAGAACGACTACCATTGATAACAAAAATTCAAAAATCAATTTTGTGAGTTGGATCGTAGAGTTATGGCTAATTGGTTTTGTAGATAATATTCATACCCGGAATATCATGGCACTGTGAAAGATGCTGATGACCGAGAGCTAAGTACACGGAAAAAACTTCAGTTCGGATAACTGAATGGGAAGCAGAGAAAAAACTCGCTGACGAGAAATGATATCTCTGTTGCTGTAACCGAGAACACTCGTCTGAACATTCAGCTGCATTAAAACTCGGTTGAGCTAACTGAGAGCAATTGGCTGAGCAGAAATCTTCTACAGAAATCTTTCTATTCCTACAATCGTGCTCTTCATTCAGTCCTCGAGTAACAGAAAATTCAGTTATACTAAGTTGTTTTTTCCGTGTAGAAACCGCGTTGAGGGAAGTACTGATGGTATCAGTCGTCGCAAAACAATCACCGATTGAATTTGCTCATATCGATCATCAATTAAACAAAATTTAATAAAATTTACTAAGTTTAATTATTGATACAAACAATCTTTAATTCCTCTCGCTCATATCAATTGAACGGTTTTCGATTGAATTTCTTGAAAAAAAATCAATTGTCAATTAAACAATCTCTAATTAAAAATATAATCAATTATTCGTAATTCTGATACACAGTAAAATTGGTTATGACAGGAACCGAAGTGACAGGCAGAATGTGACATTCGTAAAATGTGAATTCAAAAGAAAGAATTGATTTGAAATTAAGAGAATGAAATTATGAGAAATATTTTGAAAGAATCGGCAATCCGTAAAAATTTCATTGCTATTTTGTTTTGCTTAGTGACTAAGTAAATATATGACTGAGAAAGTAAGACAAGATGGCGGCAAATAAATTTTTTAGTTGTATAATTATCAAACATTTGATTGATCCAATTTTAACTAAATTTTGATTTCATCAACTAAATCCTTTTTTCAGTATACACGTCTCTTTGCAAAGCGCGCGCAAAGAACGAGGATCTCTGTCGATTGTCACGCGTCACGATAAGCATAGTGTCAGTATCATTTTCATAATCGCGCAGCGCAATTTGCGCCCAGCTCGGCTACACTCCGATCGGTCGGATTGGCGTTTTTGCACGCAGCTTTTCGAGCGGTCGACTGCGGTGCGACCGAACCGCTAATTACGAGTAACTAATTACCGTAAATACGCCTCAGCATATCGATGTCAAAGCCTCGGTCCCCCTTAATCGGATAAACATAGGCACGTCCGAACTGGTAATCCTGAAATTCGCTTGGCACTCGGCCGAGGATTCCGGTTGGCTGCCGGAGGACACATTCGCGATATCGACGCATCGCCGCAAAAACACAGCGGTCGCGTTTAATCCCGTTTCAAAGATTAGATTTAACCTCGATTAAGTAGCTACCTTTCTTGGCCGGGCAATTCTGGAGATTAAAATGGGACCCCGGCTACATTACGCTCGCATTGGGTTACTCGTAATTGTTCGCGACCGGATAATCTCTCGCAACTGTCACGGCCGTTTTGCTGCGCAAAATTGGACTATCACAAATGAGAAGCTCGATATCGCGCGCAACAGCGCCCAAATTTTCCAAATTGAGAGACATCAGTATTTCTACACTTTAAGAAAGAAAATCTTCTTCTTCTATGTTTACGAGACTGGAGCTACAGCTCCTTTGCCCAAAGCAAATGTCTAACAAAATAAGAAATATTTATTTGACGGATATTAATAACGGATATTTACTTTTGTACTGATACACTGAAAAAAGGATTTAATGAACAAAATCAAAATTTGGTTAAAATAGAATCAGTCAAATATTTGATGATTACACAACCAAAAAATTTAATTGAGGCTATTTTGCCTTACTTTCTCAATAATATATTTACTTAGTCACTAAGCAAAGCAAAATAGCGGCAATTAAATTTTTTGGTTGTGTGTAATCACCAAACATTTGATTGATACTATTTTAATTAAATTTTTATTTCGTTTATCAAATCCTTTTTTTCAGTGTACACACATTTTTGCATTGAAAATAAATCTACTTTAAATGAGAAAATATATTGGCAAAGTCACAACTATTACCAACTTAAATAACTTCGAAGCAAGAAAAAATCACAAAGATGATCTTCAAACTTTTGAAGCTGTTCTACTTAGAAAAAACAGCTTTTTATAGTTACGCTATTTTTCTGGGAGTTACAGCTTTGGAGACCATAAAATCGCCATTGTTTTTGCCTCGAAGATATTCAGTAGTTACTGATTCACTTCGTATATTTTCTTAAAATTATTGTTCTTCATGATGATAATTATTTATTCTGATAAATGAAAAAATCTGGATTTAAGTAGATATGTTATCAATATCCACTGATACGAATAGATATTCTCTATTTACTTCTCAAATATTTTGTTCTCAATGTAGCCATTTTCAGCGCAAATTGCGTTGAAAATAACTACATTGCGAATATTTGTAAGATAACCGATTTGGCGTTACGGTTCCGCCTAAAGGATTTATTATATGCTGAAACGAGTACAGCCGATCTGTCGTCTTTCGACATGGATTTGCATCCTGTCAAAATCCGGGAATTAATACCGACAGTGCGCGTTTGCTGGGCGATCTAATAGCGCGGGAAATAAAATTTTAGTGGACGAAAACAAAAACAGGGGCGTGCAATAATTGAATTTTGATATCGACGAGACTTTTTAAACGTCGGTCGAATTTTACGGCGCATCATATCGACATCACATCCCCGCTCGGGGGCGGGCATTTTTTTACGTTGCCTATGAAACGGCAACCGTGCGGCAACAGCTACGTAGCAGCGCGGAGTGCGTGCACCGATCGTACAGACGAACGATACGCGGATTCAATCACGAGCAATTATTAAAAAATAGAAAAAGGCGTAAATGACGAGAGTCGCTGGCCGCGTTCGTGCGTTGCGCGCGACACGACAAACTGCCGACGTCGATTGGACGATGATTGACGAATGACCGGTGTGTCGGCAATCGGCGTTATTACGTTTACACGTGTAACACGTGTTACGCGCGGGCGTGCTTCCGGACACACGTCTTCGTGTGTCGCGCGACGATCCATGGATGTAGGAATATCTGGACGGAGCGTATTTCCGCAGGGTTGAAGCTTAATCCTTTGAGCCGTAGAGGAACGCTAGCATCTGTCTTTTCTTCATTTTTAAGTGACTTTAACTAACTTATCAGTGGACATCGATCACATTATTACTCTCATAAGAAACCAAAAATAAGTAAACAATAATTTTTCTCAAGTTTTTTCTATAAGCCCTGTTTTTTTATAGTAAACTATTGAAATACTAATAATATATTTGTTGCAAGTTTTTTACCAAAGACGCAAGTATCTCCTTTTTTTCATATTTCGAGAAAGTGTCCGAAAGTTATTTCCGGATAATGGCAAAGCGAGATTGTCAATTTTGAAAACTTATGGCCGCCATATTGGACTTGCCACATTTCGAATTTTAACTTTTTTATCTCAAATTCGTAGTCAACGACCCCGAAATCGTACGTATCCCAAATATGAAGAAACTTCACTAAAAAATAAAATGTATGGCTCAAAGGATTAAAGAGAAAAAGGATTGTAATGGATATGATTAATAAAATGGCGGCTTATTTTTTCGTTTCGCAAAACAATCAAGCATATTGTAGCAAATGGAACATTTTATCGCGGACAACACGATTTTTGTTTATAGATTACGTAATCTCGAGACGCAACAATGCCCAAGTTAAAATCGTGCGGGACTGCGCACGACGTGAAAATATATTTGAGTCTACATATATTGTTGACATATATATGCTAATTTTGATCAATCAGGATAGCAGCGACAGAGATATCTGCTCAGCCCTGAAGCTTCAAATCCCACAGGAGTGTCCACAGGAGTACCTGGTGCTCCGTCCAGATACTCCTGTGCCCATGTAATGATCAATAAGGCGGTTTACCGGTCAGCTAGTTCGGGTTGTCCTAAATAACAATGTCGTATTTAAACGATATAAATAAAACGCGAGTTGGTTCAAATCAACTTTGTTCGGTCTTTTATACCGCGTCCGTGACGGCGCGTTATCTCTGCACAAAGCTCGTCTCTATTACCGTCGCGTGCGCGGGTGTGTGTGGTTTCTTCCTCTTTTTTTATTTTTTATACAGCACCTCGGTGACCATTGAATACGGAGATCGAACGTTTTCGGTCTCTCGGAATTCCCGAGCCTACCTTATCTCGCGCTCAAGTACGATCCGCTGGAACATAAAACTTTATGCGACCCGGGGAGACCGATTTCCTACGACGGGAAGGGTCGAATTCGGCCGGGCCGACCTCGAGCCGCGGCGAATAATCATGTGAAATAGCCGTGTAAGAAACGGAATGAGGAAATTCTGTCTCGCGCCGAGCGGGCTTCGGCGCAATAAAAGTGCCCGTAGGCGCTGATCCGTCTATAACTCGCGAAAATATATATGTATCTCGTTGCGAGAGAGAGAAAGAAAGACTCTGTCTCTCGTAGAAAAATTATGCCAAAAGATACGGCGCGTTACGAGCTTCATGAAAATTTCGGCATGCGAAAGTCATGGCAATAAAATAAAAGTATCTTTAGGGTCGTCTGTTAATAGTCGTTACTTGGGAGTTGTCTCACGTGAAATTCTCAGATATAAATTTTGAGTTAGATTTTCGACTGTTTCATTTGAATTATACAGAACGCGACATTATATTATACGCGACATCACATTTGTAATCGCGATTCAGCTGAAAAATTCACATCTAAATTCAAGTCTGAATATCTTACCTGAGATAAGTTTCAAGTAACGATTATTAATACGGATCTCAAATCTTGTATTTAGAATTTAGAGTTTTTTAGTTGAAGTATATGATACATACGTGACATTAAATTTAATTCAACGGAAAACCTTCTATCTCTCACATCTAACTCTAAACTCAAATGTATCTCAATTAAGAAATTTCAAATAACACGACTATTAATACGATTCTTAGATTTATTAATTATTAATAGTCGTTAGTTAAAACTTGTCTCAGGTGAGCGTTTTTCAGTTGAATCACGATTACGAATATGTCACACATATCACCTAATTCAACTGGAAAATTTATATTTAAATCTGAATAAAAATCTGAGTAACTCACATCACAGACAAGTTTCAGATGACAACTATTAATGCGGGCGTAAATAGCTTACTAAAAACTAGTTTCAAGTAATACTTAACTATTAATTAAGGCTTAAATGCTCGAGAAAGCGTTGATAAATTCTCGACGATTCCCTTTGTCAAAGATCTTCAAGTAAACATAGATAATAGTAACTTGCATATTGCTGCGCGATTTTTCATATTCCCTCCCTTAATACCCTCCCGACTTATTAACTTCATGATTTGATTACGCAGCGTATCGTAATAAATAATAAAATGTCAAGAAACTTACATGGCGCTGTATAGCGGCCCATCATAATAAATTATAAAATGTTGAGAAACCTATAAGGCGCTATTTAGCGGCCCGTCACAATAAATAATAAGATGTCAAGAAATCTATATGGCGCTGTTTAGCGGCCTATTCGATTACTGTTGTAAGGTGCAAATTGCGAGACTACACTTGCCTCGACACCTTCATAAACAACGCATTTTCGTCTGCAGAACGCGAGGGTGGCACTCAGCAACCGGCCAGTGTGTGCGACGTCGAATATTACGGACTTACGTCACCGGTGGAGGGTTCGGTAGTGCATCCGGAACCGCACCGATTATTCGCCATGGAAGGTCCGGTGAAGTGCAGGCAGCACTTTATACCGGCGCCCAACCAGTCGGTGGTCATTACAGTGAGTTCCCGACAAAATGTTTAATCTCTGCCGTGCATTTAATCGGTCGCGCGGATTGAACCCGTGAATTTGCTCTCCGGGTTAGGGACGCGCGCGCTGCCCCGGATAAAAACTTTTGCATTAGTGAGTCACCCGGCTAAAGAAGGGAACGTCATCAGAGCGAGGATTTTATTCCGTCTTTCGTTTGAAAACTAAAACTTTTAATCCACCTTCTCGCCGCGCGAGTACAAAAAGCCTTTCCCGTCCCTTCGTCTTTCCCCTTTCTTTTAATCCACGTTTAAATAATATTCCGCGGAATCAGACGAAGGCGAAGCAACGGTCCGACGAAGCGAGTTTCAGCAACTCCCGAAAACGATTAAATGCAACGATTGAATTCCTCGCGGAAGCATACCAACTGTAATCCTGTGCTGAGCGATACCCGTCGCATTCGCGTTACGAATTCACTGTGCAAGAGCAGGGGGGAGTCGCGCGACTTTAATCCCTCGCGCTGCTCTCACATAAATTGTCCTCGCGATAATATATGCAGTGTCTCTCAAGACTGCCGCGTGATCCCGAGTCGAAATTTTGCTTCTACGTTGATGTTGCGAATTCTTCAAATATTAAATAATTCGGTAACAATTGTTTGACAAATAAAATAGATTGTTCTTTCTTATAATGCCTTTTCTCCGCGAGGTTGGAAATTTCACTAGGACTTGATGAGATTCAAAGGGATGAAACGGAAGGAGTTGCAAAGGCAAAGATAGCAGTTGTGTGCCCGGAGAAGCATCAAGAGAGATTTAAACTTCACTACAGTACAATAACAAGGCTAAGCAGAAGTGAAAAGGAGACGTTAGCAGACTCAAGATAGAATTTGCAGACCAAAGAACGTTATTAGAGAGGCGCACTACTATTTACAAGCATTTGCAACACTTATAGTAGATTTCAAATTTCGACTCAGGATACTTTGACAGTGCATTCTGATGCTTGATGGAGTTGAAAGCTCGAAAGAATATCGAAATCGCAGCAGTTTCCAAATTAGAAGAAATTCAAGTTAAAGTTTATAATGTCACGCGCGTGTGTTGTGCCTTGCAAATCGCTCGTGAACAACTGGTAATAAAAATCGCAAAATTAAAGTTCTTTACTTCTTATTCGTCTAGTCAGAATACAGAATAATATTATTCTACTCCAATCAAGCCGCAAAATGCGCCATCAAAAGCAGCGTGTAATTGCCTTTGCTTCTTTCGTCAAAAGTCAATGCGATTTACGTGCATTGCATAATAATGTGACGCTTTGTGAGCGTTCAAATGGAGCGCTCACCATTTCATAGAAATTCGATGATGTCCAGCCAGGTCCACTGACAAAATCCACCGTTTGTTTCAGCATCCAGCCTTCTCAGCATTACTGGGCGTCCCACGTTGATTGCATTTTACTCAATTCTTAACACTCGCGATTGCAATTGTTTTAACTTTACGATCTCACGAACGTTTAGCGAATTTACTATTCGATTTCAAACCCCGGGATTTTCATAAAATATCAGCGAATCTTGAATCGTGTGTGAAACGCGAAGATCGCGGCACTATCCTCTGAAAAAATCTAGAGAAAAAATTTATCGACAAATGTGATTGTCGACAAACGGAATTTTCGTTCCTCGAGATTTCTGATTTTTCAAATAAATGATAAATATGTTTATTTAATCCAATGATAGTTTTATCGAATATATTCGCGACGACGAATTACGAAATTTCAATGTTACTTAACAATTTTACGAAATTTCTGCGCTTTGAAAAAGTTCACAAATTATGTATGAAAAATGTCGTAAATCGAAAATCACGGCACGATTTTTTTAACAAAAGAAAATGAAAAAATATTTCATTTTACGGAGAATTATAATTGTTGACAAAAGAGAAATTTCCGTTACATGAGATTTCTGATTTCGTATAATAAAAAAAATAAATATTGTACAATAAGTGAATATATTGAATTTCCAAAATATATTCGCGACAGAAAATTACTATGTCACTTCAACACACATGTGTTGCGCGGCGCGGGTCGCGTGTAAACAATTGTTAATGAAAACCGTGATATATTAAACTCCACGAACAGGGTACACGCGAATTTCGCGGGTGTGTGGTGACGCAATTTCAATGCGTATCATATACACCGCCCAAAGCAATTAGGGAATTATAAGTGAACAATTGGATAACACATATGTTTAAATAAAAAATAATAAAAGAGATAAAAAGTTATAAACTTAAAATGATAAAATGATAAAAACTTATAAATATCAAGATATTAAAATATTAGGATATTCAAATATTATATAATGCTTGTATCTTAAATATTGAAATATACGCATAAAAGATAAATATTCAAAGCTTCAAACACATATTAAAGACAATAAACATAGTTAAGAAATGATTCCCTGATTGTGCTGAGCAGTGTTTCGTTCAAACAATACAAAATAAACATAAAAAAGTCCCAACATGCAAGATATATATAGGAAAAGTAAATCACATTGACTTTCACGAGATTTTGTAAAGATCTACCACTTAAAAAATGTCTAACCATCACCTTTCAATTATTATTTCTTTTCTTTGTGACTCACATGGACGCAGGCCCGGCCACGTTTAGCTCATTCTGTAACAAAAAATGTAAACATCATTTGTTAAAACGTAGCTCGACAAAATATATGAAATATGTATTTAGACTTTGATCATAATTTGATTTTAATTCCTACGAATATATTTTCCACGATTTCAACTCGCTTGATTATATTTCAATTTTCAATCTCACACAGAGTCAAACAGAGTGTTTAAACAGTTAAATAATGTAAAAATCTATAAATTTACCTTTGAGCTGACCGGGTTGGGCCCGAACCGGATCCTCCGGTACGGCAAACTGCACATCCACTGATACAGCACCCGCATCCATAGGAACGCCATCCTTCGAAACCGCTTCCACCGTGTAACCAGTTCTGAAACAAAAAACATAGGTTTCCTGATTAGTTCACTGCCGATAGAGAGATTAGCGAGTACGAGACTCGACCGTAAATCTAACAAGAACAAAGTGCAGTAGACACCACTTACATTTCAAGATGCTGTTGTTGTTAATGACCCTACCACAGTAACGGACCGCATCCGCAGAAACTCCATCCTTTGAAACAGCTCCTACGTAGTCGTAGATTTTGTCAGTTCTGAAACAGAAAACATACATTTCTCAATTAGTTATTACTGATACAGAAGTTAGGAAATACGAGACTATTGCTAAATCTAACAAGAATGAAATGCAGTAGATACCTGTTATATTTCAAGATGTTATGGCTAACAATGATCCCAAGATAGTGATGAACTATGCAAAATATTTCAATTAGGCTCACGATCGCTGTGACGAAATTATAAAAGTTGAAAATAACGCGCGCGACATATTCCGACACGCACGAGCCGGCATCTAAAACTGTAATAACGTGCTATTGAGGTGTACTGTAGAGTATGTGTATATTACCGACCTTTCGCGCGCGCACCAAAGTCGGACTGTTTACATTCGAGCGTCTCGCTCGCTCCTGCTAACTTACTTTTCGATTATTTACCTTTCGCAACTTATGTATGTACGTGTGCGTGTATGTGTGTGTATTAGTAGTATATTCATTATACTATAAATATTATTTCAATATTAATACTAATATTTCACATCATATCAAAACGCTAATGTTTCAATATTAATATTATAGATACTATTCCATAGTACTATAACATTAATGATACTTACATTAATGCTAACATTAATAGTTATTAGTCATTTTTTAATACGTATCCCGACGGCATTTGATCCACATTCCTGTACATATTGTGCAGCCGTACCGATTATTAAAATCTAATAATTATAAAATTCCAATTCCGATAATAATAATTGACGAACAATATGCGACACATTCCGAGCCAAAATTTCATTCCCACATTAATCCTGCAATTTTCATCGAACTTGAGAGAGCAATAAAGAATTAAGAGATATAATATTATGCAGATTACCGAGAGACTCCTCTCCTGTTTTTGATATCACAAATGATTATTTATTGCTTTTTCCATGTTGAGACTTCAAGAACAACCTGCCTTAGAATTGTTTCATATTCACTCGATATTTCACCTGGATTTAATACTTCTTTAATTTCAATAATTAATATATTAATTATAATTCTCTATTGATCCTGTGTAAGTTTAATTACGGAGTTAACGTAAGATCAAAAATTTCGACTCGCGCGTAAATCGATTTAACACTATTTCCTTTCACGTCGAATTTCAACGGGCCTCGACTTTGATACGAAATTTCTTCTTATTTTATTTCATTCCTGCCGTTCCTTTCGCGGCCCTTCCCGCTCATATAGATTTTTATCCGCGCTGTTACAATATCTATGTTTTTATTCGCAGGTGAAAGGTAGCACAAAACAAATCCCGAACAATCCATGCGAAACCAAATGTGGGGATAGCGGTTGCCACTGCGTCAGCAAGTCCCTCGAGAATATGGACCACCTTTTGCTCGTCTCCGAGACCGGTCACATTGTCACCTGCCTCTGCGGAAATTACCAGGTAAACGCACGCGACGGGAAGAGCTCGGCCCTTCACTCGAGCATCTGAACATGCCGCGGCCGCTTTACAATCTTACATTGCGCGCTCTCCTTCTCTCTCTCTCTCTCTCTCTCTTTTCCTCGTTTCCTGAATGCATGTCGAGATAAAAGCGATCGTTATTACCGCAACTTTTATATCTCCGCATTGTCATGCGAGTAGGCCAGCGATGTCGTTAAAATATAACGCTCGCAATACACGCAATTTTCCGCGCACGAGTGGCTGTTGCTCTCTTTGTGCTCGTTATATCGTCCTTAGCGGGAAAGACGGGTCTTTCTTTCAAAGAAAATTCATTGTGTGCACGACGTCTTAAAAATCTGAGTTACATCTCCGTCGTTGTCGATAAAACGAAGTCTCATAAATCGGTTTCTTACATGAACGGAAGATTGTTTCAGAAGATCAATTCAACGCGACATATGTAACGCTTGCTTAAAATGTACGCGCAACAATTTCATTGAGGTGACCCCACCTCGTTTACTCGGATCGTAATTTCAATCCTACTTTGGAGCCAAACTTTCTAACGTCTGTATATTCTACAGGATCAGAATATATTTAATATATGTGGAAATTGAAGTTCTACTTACAAGGAACATTCGCGAAGTGTGTGTCTCCGATTTCGATGAAACTTGGCATATTTATAGAATGGCGAAAAATAAGAGATCCATATTTTTTTTATCGGCAATGGCTCAGGTTTAAGGAGTGAAACTACCCCTCAAAGTTTCATGTCCTTTTTGCTATCTCTGTAACTATTGGAAATAGAAAAAAACTTTTCAGCCCATTTTATTTTTGATAAAAAACCGCATAACTTTTATCTAAAAAGTTTTTTTCTATCTCTATAACTATCTTAATAGTTACAGAGATAGTAAAAAGAACATGAAACTTTGAGGAGTAGTTTTACCCCTTAAACCTGCGCCATTGCAAATAAAAAAAATATGGGTCCCTTATTTTTGGCCACTCTATAAATATGCCAAGTTTCATCGAAATCGGAAACACACACTTCGCGAAAATTCCTTGTTAGCGCCTCTAAATGATAGAAAAGACAACATCTAAAGAGTTAGTAAAGTTAAATAGAATAAAGAAAGATTGACGTAGTCTTCAGAATATCAAAATATGGGCGTTAAATTGAGGTCAAAAATAGGATCAAAATTTCGACTGGGACATCGTCGGATCAATGATGTCGCGCAAAGAAATCAAACGCAATGTAACAATCCACGACAACCTCGGCAAATTCAAGCGCGCGATCGTTACGCGAGAAGGAAAAACTGTGTGCGCGCGCGATTCGACGACATACTGGTTTTTGTCGAGCCGAATTTGACGTCAAATACGGGAAAGCCACAGGAAGCTGTCAACGATAGATAATTTATTCAATGCAAAATATGTTTACCGCAAACCTCGCGCACACGCCATAAACTGACCTGACTTTGACTGTATCCATATGATGATTATTAATAGGCGTATTATCAGATTACCCAATAGAGTGTAATCGTTATGACGGGTCTATAAACGGTAATACGATTTCGATTCCGGGATCATCGTTTCATATTCAAATGCTCATTATTTCGGCACAATTGAGGGCTATCGTGCGAACTGCAACGTAAACAATAGACCGAATCTGTATAATTTAACTGCGCAGAATTAAACGCGACATCCGCGATTGATTATTAGGTGCGCGTCTATCGAGAAACGACGTTTGCGTAAACTCGCGTTCTTTCTTTTGAAATTTCTCTTCCCTCTGAAATCCCGTAACAGAATTTACTGTTAAAAGTGACAACGCGTTATTGCTATTTACTCTTTTTTCCCCTTCTTATCACCCTATCCACGGCCTATTTTTATCAGCGACGTTCGTTTCAGCTTCTTCTTATCGCTCCTTATTTTTCGTTGCGCTCCTCTCCAACAACCGGCTGCCATTTTCCACGCGATATCTCCCAGCCCTCATTTCATCCGTCTAACGGGCTCTATTATCGCGCAGGACTGGCTTCCGGTGGGCATCCGTAGCTGGACTCCCGTCTACATCGAGTGGTCGAGATCGTCGAGAGCGGGCCTCAATTTCCACGCGGCCTACAAGTTTGTCAATGACACTTACTGCGGCGATCACACAACGGCGGAACCGGAAGGCGAGGTCAATGGCGGTGATCTGGCGAGCGCAGGGCTGAAGCTGAATCAGTATTACCAGCAGAAGTGCACCTGGATCCTAGACTCGCCGATCGACAGGCAGCTCGTCATCGAAGTCAAGTCCACTCAGAGCCGTAAGCAGCAACATTCGCGTCTACCAATCGCTGGAAATACATTTTTAAAGTCACGTTGACAAAATCTGCTTGCTTGGGGTCTTTTTCGAGGCAATAGATTTCCGATTTTTCGCGAGAGCCAACAATTTCGTCATGCGCTCTTTCGTATTATTTCCAAACGGACCGACAATTCCAGAGTTCAAATCAACGTCCCGAATTTGAAAAACACAATTTTCGTTCAATTCGACCCTAATTGAAGCTCTAATTTAATATGAACACAATTTGTAGATATAATTGTTACTTATCACATTACATATATAATAGACAAAATTTCGTACAATCGAGATACTCAACGTATAATTTGCTAGCAATTGCATTCACAATTTCGCAATTTCACGTTTATTGCATTCGCGAAACGCTCCTCTTTCTCAAGAGCCGGAGAAAAAGTAATAAGCTATCTTTCGTGAATTTGTTAGTTCGTGATTTTATATCTCGCGAGAAAAACCGAGAGCCATTTAAAAGTACGAAAATGATTTATCTAGAAGGACCTATCTACGTCTCCCAGGAGAACGTTTCGCAGACGATTTATCTTCGAGTGATATTAAAGGAAAACAGAAAGCAGCTGCGTACCGAAGCAGCGTATCTTTTGTAGATCTCGGACATTAAGGATCCTATGTTACTACAGTGCAATTAATTTCTTTGCGGTAACAAACCTGTTGATAGCTCCAATAAAACCGCTTCAACGTGACGACATACAGGGTGTTTCTTTACCTCCGCCCACGAAGCACATAACGTTATTTCTTATAAAAAATTCGAAAAGTCCTGAACTATTTTTGTCTTTGATGCTTAACGAAGCAGATATTCTTTAATAAATTCTAGCAAATCCGCGCGGTTCTTTAGAAGCATACACGTCTGTGAGCCGCACGTGTGCGTGATAGTGTGCATAAATATTCCGCCGCTGCATTCACGCACACTACTAAGCGCGCAGCTCACAGACATACTTCTAAAGAACAGCGCAGATTTGCTGGAATTTATTAAAGAATATCTGCTTCGTTAAGCATCAAAGACAAAAATGGTTCAGGACTTTTCGATTCAATTTTTTATAAGGGATAATATGTTCTTCGTGAGCGAAGATAAATAAACACCCTGTATATTAGCTTGTCGTGGAATTTTTGTAAATTCAACATTAACTTATATAACATTCATGTGAAATACTTAGACTTTCTACAGATCTACAACGTATACAACTAAGCTACAAATTTACATTACACGTTACATAATTTCTCAAGTAAGATAAAAACACGTCGATATCATACATTGAGGAAAAAGAGAGATATCTAAGAAATAAAAAATATTTAAGAATATTTGAAATAATCTTATAAAAACCTAAGAATTCTAAAAATAAGAAATATTTAAAAATATCTAAGAAATAAAAAATATTCGATAGACGCTAATATCTATTTATACTAATATAAAATATTTTTCGAACAAGAAAATACACATTTTCTTAAAATCTTAGCTTTTCATGAAAGCCATTGTTTGTTCCATTTAAATAAAAAAATATAGATTTATTACGTTACCCATCAAAAAAGTATTTTTTGTTCTTTAGATATTTCTTTTTTTTCAATGTGAGTTTCACTTCAAGTTTATGTTTTATAATATGCAATTGTGTGTGTGCAACTATTCTTAGAAAGATTATCGATTTGTATTTTTCTCATACCTAACAAAAAGTTATTATGATTTTGAAAAATGTTTGCTTCGTATAAAAAAAAAATTCTGTTCATGATTCAAACGCGAGCATTAAAATAAATATTTAAAAAAACAAAAGCGAGCAGTTTTCCGCGACGTGTGCATAGAATATATGTTGTCTCTGTTAGCTCAATATATGTACAGAGGGAGAGAGAGAGAACAATGTACCTCTCTCAATTTATTGTTGTTTCTAACGACATTTCCTCTGCCATCGGACTTTTATTTTCATAAGCGCGAATTCTATCCGGCGTCTGTCGTGCGACGGATGGCGTGGACACGAGAGAAATTCTATTCCAATCCTAGTCCTGAGACCTGCAACAGTGAGAAAAACAGAGATAGATCATCTTCCAGGCGACGTACGCCGTCTCTATCGGCGATAAAGAAATAGAAAGAGAGAGAGAGAGAGAGAGAGAGAGAGAGAGAGAGAGAGAGAGAGAGAGAGAGAGAAATCTCCTTTCGATTGCTTTTCTTCCCGTGGTCGACGGAATTTCTGTCCGCGCCGTTGGCTTCGTCTCGTCCTCGTCGTAGTCGTGGTCACGAAAGGACGCGAAAGTTTCAATGAATATAAGTCTAAGGGAGAGGACACGTCGCGGCACGAAAGGACAATGGCGGCCGGCAAAACGAATAGCAGCAGGTCGCGAGATTAAAGAGACCATCGGATTTACTGCGAAACTGTGAGAGCCGCAGCTTCACCGTGTGAAAATCACGTTCCCCTTTCTCTCTTTCTCTCTCACTTTCTCTCGTTCTCTTACCTCGACGCGTTTCTCACCATTTCCTTCTCCACTCTTTTCCGCCCGCTGTTTTCGCGCCTTCGCGTTCGGCAACCGTCTGGCGAACGCCACAACAGCGCCGCTATCGCCGCCGCCACTGCCGTGCATTACCATTCGACAGATCGATCGACTGGTCGAAACCTTTCGACCAGACACATTCATTTCTAGCTACTCGTTTTCCATGACTGTCGATCAATCCGAAAAACGGGAACGTGTTTTTTGGATTAATGCACAGTGATGAGAGATGCATAGCTAGATACGAATGTGGCTAGTAGGAAACTTTTATAGCGAATTCGGCCGCTTGGGCTAGTGTGCACTGAGTGCTCACTAAGGCTTGTTCATAACCCGTTCTGATATTTAAGGTCATCTTAAATATATCTTCAAATTGTTCTTAGCCAATAAAATAATCTATACAGCATCCTTACAGATCGTTTCATTGGCTAAGTTTTCGAAGATGTATTTAAGACGATCTTAGATATAAGAACGTGATATAAACAAGCTTGAATGAATACTCAGTACATACTCAGTGCACACTAGAGCAAACGGCCGAATTCGGTATTGGCAACTATCGATCTGTCGATGCTAAGGCATCGCGAGACTGAGTGTACGCTGGTTTGCAAAGCACTTTTCTTCGATGGAGTTTGGAACGCAGCCAATGTAACCCACTGAGAGAATACAATCTTCGGGAATTAAACAGAAACGAGTTCTCTCATTGGACCATCGGTCACGTTCCAAAACCCATGGAAAGAAAGTGTTCAAACCGTTTTGAAATGCTCCTGATGTTAACAATTTGACGTCATCTACTATTCTTCTATCACCGCGCTTCTAATTCCCGATTAATAAATTCAACGATCGCCCGATTCTATTGCTACTTGAATAAGGCTAAGTTCGTCTTACACGCTTTCGTGCTGAAAGTGAAACATCATTCTATCTTCCTTCGGCGTATAATGAGCGATAAAGATAGAATGATGCTCTCAGCACGAAAGTATGTAAGAAGAACTTATAACAACCGTAATAATAACAAGTGTGAGAGACGCCGACTCGACGCGTCGCGACAAGCACCGGTTGCATGCACCGCATGTAAGACGAGATTATTCCTTAATAACGTACTCACAATACCTCCTGACGATCACACATCGCTATTTTCGACGCTCCCAATACTTATTCCCGCACGAGATTCACTCTCGACAGATAAAAAGCGCGTAAAACGCGGAGCAATGTCGATCGATGTATTCACGACGGCTGCTTGGCGCAAAAGGATCGAAATCCAACATGGCCGCACAATCAATGAAAATGCGCGCGAACATTTTCGCGCCGCTACAACGACGTCCTCTGCACACTCAATCCCGCAAGTATCTTACCATTCGATACATCGATCTATTCGATAGGTCGATCTATTTGACAGATCAATTAAATTATTATTATAAATAATTGTATAATAATTTGTAATTATGCTCCTACATGACATTTATACTTATAATTATCCACATTTACGATTATATGTAATCACAAATATAATTTTACATAATTCTCTAAAATTATACACGGAAAGAATATATATTATAACATTTTCTTTCTCGCGTGAATTCTTTCCAATTTTACTGTTTTCTAGTGCAGAAATAAATTATCAATAAGACTATCTTAAAGTACACAATAAATTTCTCGAGAAACGTGGCAAGTCTTTTAACACCAATTTTAAAATTTTAGTTTCTAAAATATAAAGCGTAAAATGAAAAGATAGTTAATTAGTCTGCGGAGAATATCGATTCATTCTACGGTTAGAAAATTCTATGATTTTTAATAGAAAATTCCCTCAGTGTAATATAATTATTTTTGCTCAGGAGGTCAAAGCTAGTTGCTGTTCGCGCTCCTCATTGTCTTTTAATGTTATTCCTCGTTTTATTTTAATGTTATTCCTATTTTAGTATTATTCCCGCTAATTTATTCCGCGCTCTTGTTTTCTCTCGAAACTCTAATGGCGAGCAAGAGAGCGATCGATGCGACCAGATGCATATACATGTGCGATGATGCGGTGATCCGATTCGTACGTTCGTATGGCTCTGTATTAGACACGGAGAATACTCCCTACGATGTTTCAAAGGATAGAAAAGATGTTTTTATCGGTTTCCCCCGCGCCACGGGCAGATGATAGAAATACGAACGAGACGAGAGCACGGCCTCGTGACGCCGAGCCGTCGCGATATACGGCACTTAGGAATATTAACTAAGGAGAAAAGCGAGACATTGAAATCGCTCCGACGCGAGCGCGGAAAGTTTTGATTTATGCGGCGTCTCGGGCGCAGATGATACGGAGTTTTCGCGTGTAAGCGAAACGCTTCCGTTACGCGCGTCTCGAACGCAATTGCGGTGGTTTATCCGCTTCGCCGGAAGGAACGTGGAAACGAGTCACGTTATTAGATGAATTAACCCCGCCAGGACTTCACAAACGACCCCGTGTTAAAACTATTCACTTTGAATAGTGAACCGCCGCGAATCGAATTACTCCGACGAGACGACGAGCCCTTCTGCGAGTTCGCTCATGGAAATCGTCGGCGTGTTGTGCGTTGCTCCTCGTCTCCTCGTTTCCTCGTGCCCGCGCCTTTTTCATTTTCTTCCTCCTCCTTACGGAACGTTATGAGTGGAGTCGAAACCGTAACCAAAGCCCCACAAACGCCGGGGCCGGAAATAGCTTTAATATACCCCTTTCTCTTTTTCTCTCTTTATGTCTCTCTCACGGGCTGTGGCATCGTCGCGTTTCACCCGCACCTTTTCTCACGCCCATCGCCTTCTCTCGCCCTCTCGCTGAGTCGAGTCGAGTCGCTCTTCTTGCAAAATTTCATCTCTGAGCGTCACATTTTCAGACATAAGAAGTTCGCCAAAATGTTCGCCGCGTGGATAACAAGAATTCTAATAAGCAATTTCCGCAATTAAGTCATTCGTACTCGCACGCATGCACGTTCGCGCGGGTTATTATTTCTTTCGGAATAAATAATAAAAAGCCGAGGAAATATCTCGGCTGGTTACAGTCCAACGTAACGAACCATAAACTAATATTTGAGCGACAAAATTAGTTAGTCTTCCCTCGCTTTATGTCAGCAGTGAGTTTCCGAAAAACCACGACGTCGAGTGAACAAATATTAAGCGAGCAATCAAATTGCACGAGAAAAAATCAATGCGTTTTATGGACTACGGCAACTATGTCCATCAAGTGACGCGTGAATTCGAACAAACGTTAACCCAACAGATAAAGCGAGCACCAAATAAAATCGAGAATAAACGAGGACCATCTTCTCAATCGAATAACTTATACGAGAGTCAATCTATTCAATCAAAATTTCGGAGGAATCGCCGAGAAATCCGCGACGAACGCACTGGAAAAAAACAACCTAAAACATAAAAAATATTTATTAGATGAATATTAATGACATATTTACTTAAATATAAATTCTTTTATTTAAATAGTTTTAAGAAAAAGTATATTTTCTTTTTTATTTGAAAAATATTTTATAATAGTACAAGTAAATATATCATTGTAGTACTCACCGAATAAATATTTTTTATTTCTTAGATATTTTCTCGCTCAGTGTGCCAACGTAACGAATTAAATTTCGAATATTCCTTTGAATATTTCAATATAGAGTTCTCACACTTTCGAGTCGCTGCAACAAATTAAAACGTCACTAGTCAGCAGATTTATTCTGTAATTTTTTAACGCATATATGGAAAAAAATCTCAGTTCACGCAATTAAATAGATACCGGATGAAAAATGATATGTTGCCGAAATTATTAGCCTAAACATTTTTTCAGCTGTATTAAAATTTGATTGCAGTAACTGAGAACAATTGACTGAGTGAAAGCTTCCTTTCTCAGTTAGGAATCTATCTGTTCCTGCAACTGAGTTTCTCATCTAGTCCCTATTCTTACCAGACAACGGAAAATTTAGTTACGCAAACGAAATTGTTTCTTGTATAGATGGTATACAGCGACGCAAGCGTTAGTAAGTCGTCAAGCCGTTATAACAAGTCACATAATAACTGCGCAACGACGTTCAATACGTTAATTGCCGTGGTGGTCACCGGTAACCAGTGCTATAATATCGCCGCGTCTCATTAATTTATATATAAAACTTAGCCAACTGTGTTAATAACAAAGTAAATATATGTCGCCGATAGAGAGCCAATAAAACAAGCTAACAAATATATATATATCGCAAATTGCATTTGTAATTTACCTCAGTTGTGGTGATTTAAACTGCATTAAACTGAGCATTGAAATAATCCATGAAAATCCATGACAGTCAACGTATTAACAACCTAAAAAATTTTATCTAATTTTTAGTGAAATCCTTTTATATTATATGTATTTATTATTATATATATATATATTTTTTTATATTTATATGTATTTATTATAATATATATATTTATATTATATACACTTTGTTATTATATATTATATGCATATGTGGCTTCAAGAGAAGATGCTTTTAAAATCAAAAGAAAAATATTCTAAACACAATATTCTAAACATATTCTAAACACAATATTCTTAAAATTTGAGGAATTTCGTTTTTTATCTACAGTGCAAATTCTTAATAAAAATTTCTTCTAGTAAAAGGCGTTCTACTTCAAGTAAACGTATTCTCCTTGATTCAAAAGGAAAAAAAAGTCAAATAATAGCAGATTTCTTAACAGAATCCTAGTAGATTTCTGATTAATAGTTCATTTCTCTCATTGGAAGAGAAATACTTTCTTGGTAGAGTTCTCACTTAGTATACGGAAATGTAGGAAATAGCACTTTGCAACTAGAATTCTTTTTAGGTTGTTGGAATATTTTCCTGTTGATTTTGAAAGAATCCTCTCTCGGGACTATATACATAAGATGATTCCTAAGAATGAAATCATATATTTTTTATTGAATGATAACTTACAGAATATGAAGGCAATTATTCCTCGCAACACGTATTTCGACGATGTCCGCTCATTACGGTGCCTTTTGTACTTCACAGGACCTTGCACAGCGTGGAACCTCACAATACACGAGTATCGGAAGGACGGCGACCCGGCTGGTCCCAGATTGCACACGTTCTGCTCGAGGGACACGCACAAGAATTTCACCCTGCCGTGGAAGATGAATACCGCGGTGGTTAGGTGAGTTTCTTAACCGGCGCGCTCGGGACCGATTAAGACCCCGACGAAAGTTTCCGCCGCGATCTTGTCTATTAGCTCCGGTTAATGACAGTTTCACGACAGTTTCGACGGGAGATTATGACACGGCTCGTTGAAATATAAGCGTCGTTTTGCGCGACGACGACGACGGCGACGGCGACGAGCGATCGGACTCACCCGTGTTTGTGTGCAAGATTGTGTCGAACACGCGCTCACATAAAACCGACGATTGATGCCCGCGCGATCCGTAACTGTCGTCTCGTGGGAAGAAATTATCCTCTGATTAACAATCGGCCATCGTTCATCGCACCTTACGACGTCAATTCCAGCGTTACGACCGGCGCCGGCATCACTCGTCATTCCGTAATCTGCCAGGTATAAAGAAAAATATGTTAACAGAAAAAGAGAGAGAGAAGGAGACATTCTCTCATTGTCCGTGACAATGATCGATACAATTAAATCAAAAAAATGACAGAGTCATTTGTATCGTATTCTCGAGAAAACGAATCTTTCCCTTTACAATCGGAGAAAGGAAATATACATGAAGATGCTCGCGTGATCCAAAACATCAATACATCATTAAATATACATCTATCCACTCAGAAAGTCAGAGGTCTCGCTCGTATTTTCACATTTTCTAGTAATATATATATCGTCAGGTCGAGAAAAATTTTTCATTGGTAAATGTAAACGAACATTTTTGCTCGTTTGCTCATTTGCAATTCGTTTGCTCGTGCTAATAAAGAACAAAAGCTTTGTTCATCTGATTCTCATTGTTAATTTGTATTATTCACAAAATGGTCTCTTTGATCTGTATTTTAATGATATTTTTCGAGAAATAAAAAATCTTCTGACCGGCGACGAAGAGTTTATCTGTGTCTTACTTGTAATATCGAATTTACGAATTTAATCAACTGAAAGAGAAATATTATTATATCGCGCACAAAAAAATTAAAGCCATCATTTCTCTCGTTTATGAAAATTTATCTGGCTGTGATTTTCGCAAAAATAATGAGAGAAAAATGTTTCGGGAAGCATATTATGTTTGAAGTTTTAATTTCGCGACATATTTTCGAATATAAAATTTAATTAATTTTGAAAATATACCACATACAGATATAAATCTCAAAATCCGTAAAACTATTTTTTATCCATAGAAATATCGTTTGAAGTTTGCCGAATTGTTTCAAAAATGTGAACTTCCCATTTTAATTTCCATGTCCGCATATTGCGATCTGACCTTTTTCCAGCTAGTTATTTGATGTTAAAGCAAAATCCATTCTACAGGTTTTGATTGTTTAAAACAGGCGGGCGAATCGACATATAACACTCGCTAACTGATACATGAAAGTTAAGTTTCAAAAGCATGCACAGTATATTTCATAAATATTTTTCAATGTTAAAACTCAGTTAATAGATGAAATAAAAAACTGTCTGAACGTCAATTCGCATTTAATTCATATTTAGGCAACAAATGACAGTAACATTGTGACAAACTTAGGATGTGATCCATGAGATGCTATAAATGTTTTAAAGCACCATATAGACTAATCATAGTTTCTATTTAAGCGTTCCAAACCGTTTGCAGCGTCTAATTGATCGCATCCTTAATACGCCTGAAAAGTAAAAACTTTAACCTTTAAATTGATTCTCGAATAATCTCAATATCACTATTTTTACAGAAATTACAATCTGCCTATTATGCAAATCAAAATTTGCTTATTTGTCATAAATGAGAAAAGTTACCCTTGCAAATTGTAATGATGCAACAGATTCAAATACCTGCGTAAAAGTACACCTGACTTTCCGTTGGATCGTACTCTTTGCGAAGGCCTTCTGACTTATCGCTGAATCGTTGGAACTCCGAGATAAATCGGCACCTGACCGTTCCTTCAGTTATTGTTCCCTCTAGTCTAGTCTGTCGTTGTGTCAAAACTCTTCGGCTTCCGAAGTTAATTTTCTGGAATAGCTTAGTTTCACCTCTACTAAAAGTAGAGGTTACTCAGCCCGCACGTTACGACAAAGCACTACTTCTGCGCGATGCTAATCGTCTAGTTGGCGCCATCTATCGGTGTCGAGTAAAAACTCGTCACCAGAAGGGTTTGAGTCTTGGCTAATCGGTCGGTAAATGTTGGTTAAAGAAGGTTCGAGTTTTGGTTAATTTAGTTCCACAGTCTCCATTATGAGCCGCCACTATACTCATACCCATGAATTGGTACAATTCAACGACACATCGAACACCTCCAACATTTACCAAATAAAATGACTCGTTAGACAGTTAAATGCACTTCTCCATTATATGAAATTTTATGAGCAGTAACTTTGACAAAAGTGACAAAACGAAGATAGTCCAAGAAACATTTAAAGACTTGAAATCTCTACTTCTCAGATATATTAAATTCATGTTTCCTTTATCGCTAAGATATATCGAGCTGAATGAGAAATAGTAACTTTCAATCTTTTTTTATCTTTCAATCTTATTTTTCAATTGAGTTTTATAAAGAAAAAATTGTTTATCTAAAATATGATACATATATATTAAAAAGGAAACTTTAAGCTTTTTGTTTATTGTGTGACACATCAAAGCCGAAAATGCAGTTTTTGCTTCAACATTGAATTCGATGAAAAAAAATTGCTCCACAATTTGCAAATATACAAATTAAAGAAAAAGATTCAATTTTTCGAATGATACATATCATCTGCGAGTTTTTATTTACGCGGAGTAACACGATATAATTTAGGAAAATGTTTAATTTGACGGATCTCCGTCTATACCTTTATAGAAATATCATACTAAGAATCATTGATAATTACTTATTTTCAGTATTAAAAATACTAGATAATAAGTAATTATCAATGATTCTTAGTATGATATTTCTATAAGGGTATATAGTTATATAACATTACACACATTAATTTGACGTTATATTCGCAAATACATCTAAAAATTAGATACTTTAATCTACCAAATGCTTCTTTATACACCTCGTTATCATTTTTATACAAGTAACTTGATGTTATTTTCTTTGATCGCATATTGAGAGAAGAGATCGTCTCGTAATCGTACAAAAAATAAAGTAATTATCTAACTATTCTTAGCGCGTACAGAAAATTAGAGACACTTCTTCATATCGAAGGAAGTACGAGAATGATCTCAAATAAATTGTATAATTCTGGTTTGAACATGAAAGAACGACCAAGTAGAGTGCGCACGCGAATGTTTGCGTAAGATCAATTAATCGTTCTAAATGATTATTTTACGAAATCTAAATAAGATCTAAATAAGATCTAAATAAGATCTAATGCATTTTCCAGGCTGCAAGCCCTCGGGAGGACAGCTCCGCAGTACATCATGAGATGGAGTAGTCACACGGTGACAGCCAACACTCGCAAAAGCGGACCGTCGCCTGCGCCGAACCACGTGTTGGGCGCCTCGGGTAGAGGCGAGCCACGAGGAAGAATCCTCTTAATGGCGTTCGCGATTCTGCTCGCATGCTCATACGGTTGTTGAGAGCTCGCGATGAAGACGCATCTGCACACATGCAAAAAACACACACATACACAAGCGCATACGTTCCTGTTAATCGAACGAGCCTAAGTTAATAACCCCGTGTACATAAACGATGAGGACTCGGAGTTGGTCCTCGTTTTACGTCGCTCGATGTAAGATGCTTTACTAAGCAGCACCGGTACCGATCGACAGCCGAGGTGTCACCGGCTGGGTTCGTTAACCACGCGCTACATAATCTGCCAGGGAAAAATATTTTATGCGTGCGACGCATCCACGCACACAGACATATACATACATACATATACACATGCGAGAGACGATATCGAAGACAAATTTTAACTGATACACGCGCTATATTTTTCACTCTATACACGACTTGATCTTCCTCGCGGCTGATGTGACGGAGGGTTAACGAGCCAGAGATTGCCGCTCCTCAATCACATCACAGGCAGCACGAACTCTTGAAAGACGTCTTCCCAAAACAGACACGAAGGCCGTTATTCTGAAAAATCTTCTTTATCGATAAAAGTACCTCTAGATGTAACTATAAGGCTTACAAGAAACACTTAAAGACACTTTTACCGATAAAAGAGAATTCAGAATAAGATCTTAAGTTACAATAACGTTATATCAATGTTACAATTTGCAACAATGCAACTGTTATATACAACAGGCGTTTATTGCACTTACATTGTTGAATGGGAAGTTGGAACATTCATGCAATGTGTTCTGCAATTGGTGTCTACTGAGCCTAAAAAAAGAAGTTCTTTAAAAGTTTCGGCTGTCTGAGTATATTACACACTGGCACACACGCGTTCGTCATACGCACGTCGGAATTTAAAGAGTGACGATCACAGCACGTCTGAGTAAGCGCAATTATCTTGCACATCTTCGTCAACTGAATTAATTTGCGTTTTTCACCACGTTCCATACGAGAATACACGTACGAACCGTCATCCGTTTCAAGATCACATTCTATCCCGTATCAATGTGGTGCACGGTGTCTTCTTCAGTCCAACGTAGGATTCAGTCGTCGCAGTCTCCAAAGCGTTTTTATAAATTGATATATTAGCTCCATCGAGAATCCTATCAATAAACATGTACAAAAATTGTTACACCGAAGTTGCGATCGTCTGATTATTTCATCTGACGAGAAAGTCACGATAACGTGAGAAGAGTGCAGCTTCTCGGCGCGTTTTCACGATCACGATCACTTTAAGGACTCAAGGAGGGCCCAACGAGTGGCGCACGTGTATATATTATACATATATATAAAGAAGAAATTAAACACATATGCAGAACGCGATGCACGGATTTGAAGAGTAGAAGAAGAAGAAAGAAAAGTCACACGTCACCTCTATCTCTCCCACTCTTTCACGCGATTGCCAAATTACACGTGTAAGAGGATCGCGACACGTAGCCGATGTGTACATATGTAGTGGCATTTGGATAGCATTTGTACAGAACACGACTAATTGTCTACACTAAGCCCGCGCGGAGATTACTGTAAAGTAAACGATAAGGACAATTAACGATTAATCGCGATCATTCGCGGTCTCCCCAAGAGGGAGAGAGAGACATGAGACGCGCAATGCGACAGAAGCGCGCGTAAGATACGAAGAGAGTGTATTTTGACGAACGAGCTTCGCGTGCCCCGCGTGCACACGCGCGATTTAATATTGTTACACACGCGGTTCCATGGCCGAACGGGGCCCTCTCATCTCAGAAAGATATCGTCGATCCGGATCCTCCCTCCGCGTGGAGTCCCGAGAGGCTCCTCCGCGAAACGAGACGGGACACGCCGATCCGCCGTGGAACGCGCGCGCAATTATTATCGGGATAAGGCGGAAATAAACGCTATAGGTCGTAAATATCTAATGTACGTACTTACTACTAACGCCACAGCCGGTAGGACGAGCCGCGGATCATGATACTCCGACTGTGCAACGGTGTGAGGGAGCGTTTCTACGAGACTTTTCCATTAATTTTATATCGAAGCCACGCGAAAAATCCTCGCGAGATTCATCATTCTTCTCCTTCTCTCTGTTCTTTTTTACACACGCACACAGACCACGTCGTTTTACGATCGCGTACGAAGCATGTGACGCGACACGTGGGCCTAAGTCGTTCCCGTATTATACTCTCCTCCTGAGAATATCCTCGCGCACCCAAGGCGCTTTAACACATGGCTACTCGTGATTACTTTTCGCGCGGCTTACATATCTCGCGTGTCAATGTCCCTCATTTTGCAAATACGCGCACATATTCTCGGTCTTGTTTTAAAAATTACAAGCGTAGGCCGTCGTCTCTTTCCGACGTCGAAAGCACGTTGTTAACAGCGGAACGCCCACAGTTTTAACACTGTAACTATCAAAGCAGTCAAAATGATCGATTTATAATTTCTTGAAAGAATTACTCAAATTTCTAAAACGTCGCAGTTTATATTTTCAATCGACTTTGAGTGAAATTTCAAAGTAAATGCTGTATATTTAAAATATAAAATTAAATAACAGAATATATATATATATATATATATATATATATATATATATATATATATAACTAAGAAATAAAATCAAGAAATGGTTTACATTACGTATTTTATTCGAAAATGAATTATTTTGACTGTTCTGGTAGAAACGCTAGTCACGTTAATTGTCGGTAGTTAAGAATTCAATTTATCACCGTGTCATTTTGCCCCACGAGTGTGACTTATCGGCGAAGAGTATCGCTACATCTTGTAACGTCTCTCTTCGTAACATTTTCCTGGCGAGCAATCTATATACAATTTCCGATTTCAACGAATTAAATCGACCATACCTGTGGACGTTTTAATGCTGAGATATGTAATATTAGGCAATACTTCGTTGCGCAATTAAGGGCATTATTTTTAGCGAGTAACTGCGGCGATTTCGCAAATCATTTCGAATTCTCTTGTACCTATTACGGAAAAAAGCTGCTGGATTAAAGATACATTCTGGGTGTGTCATAAAGCGCACGAATTCCTTCGAGTTTCGTTACCACAACTTCCACACGATGAAAGAGGAATATTCGCATCTCTAGAGTGTATTGAAGTTGTCATTTTCATCGTGTCAGCAGTTTTAATTGAGCTTCCGAGTGTTAGTCGCTGTCACAAATCGAATTACCTTTTCCCACGATGTTCTTTCAGTTTTTCACGCGTCGTTTTTCTAGAACGAAACTCGCATCTAGCGATGTAAAGCGCGAGGAAAGAAAATTATATTGTAATACTTTACGTTGTAATTCGTAATGTAAGCAAATACGAAGCGCGATCATTCGCGAACTGTATTCGTCGAGAACCTCGTCAAAACAGAGATGAAAGTCCCTATCTACTTAATTATTGACTGATGTTACAATGAGTATTAAAAATCGTCGCTCAACAGTGTGCTTCATATAGAATGCTGCGCAATATTGCAGATAAATACTTCACCGACTGGCAGAACTTGCAAGAACAGATAAAAAGAGTCTCAATGAAATGACAGCTCCGCGAGCCGTTGGTTCTCGAGATCATATTTTGTCAGCCACATTCTGATTATTCCATTCAATCTGCAGTAATTACGTCGATCTCGTGTTATTGAGTCTTCTATTAACAAAAAGAACAAAGAAAAGAATTTGAACAATCGTGTTGTGCGCTTCAAAGAAATCGCGTCGCGTCAGCGAATTTCTCTATTTAATCCACTTACATCATTAGAAGATTTGAAAAGTAATAAAGTAATAAATAAAAGTGAAAAAGTAATAAATAAAGAAAAAATATATCACTAAATATATATATTTTTTTTCCTTTTTTCTCGTTAAATATAATAAAGCGGATCTAAAACACATGATCTTTTGCGATTTATCTTCAGCATACGGAAAAAAAGATTTGGTTGAATTAACCAAATATCTGATCGAATATGAACGATCCAGAAATTCCGATTGAAATAACCCGAATTCTGTTTAAGTCAACCAAAAATCTTGTTAACTTAAACGTAATTCGGGTTACTTCAATCGAAAATTCTAGATCGTTTATATTCGACCAGATATTTGGTTAATTGGATATTTGATCAACCAAACCTTTTTTTCCGTACAAGAAATCGCGACTATTTACTGATGATGACCGGGCGAAATGAATGGATTATATCCGCTTCTGATGCAAATGGATTAAATCACAACGTTTAGGAGCCGTATTTTGGACAAACGTCAAATATGCTTTTATGAAATTCTTAAGCTAAACCAATATTGTATGTGTGGCGCTCATATGAAAAGAACGAAACTTAAAATTAAAGAGTTCAGCGTTCGCTGTGCGCACAAAATAAGGCTCCAACTCGCGCTCGGCCTTCGAAAATACAATATAAAACGCAGACATGCTCAAATACGCCGAGAAGATTGCTTTTTATTTCGTGGCTCTACATCGATTCCATCGCCTCTTCAAAGTTACGACACGCTCGCGCTTGGTATTGGCGGGAACGCTCGAGCGAGATGAATGAAGGCACAGCTGTTGACACTCCGCTCTGCAGTAATAGCAAGTCCGCATTCCAACGTGTAACATTACGTAACTTTTGGAACATGGACTTACTCCCGCTCCCACTCTCACGCGTCGAGTAATCAGCTGGCCGTCGACCACGCGGCCGGCGCTCGCACGTGCGCAACGAAACTTCAAAAGCACCATGCACTCCAAAATTGCACTAAATCAAGCAATTATGATATAAACCAGTGCTCGAAATTACTTACATTTTCCGAAGACTGCACTTCTTTCTTCCTCTTGCATTTCCCGCTCAACTGTCGAGCATGCGACTGACGATCAACCTCAGGGCCATTAACTTCATGAGACCTTCGGGACTTTCCTTAATTTGTGAAATTAGTTCTTTATGCGTGTTATTTCGACGTAATGTATCATGTTTTTATCTTAACCAACGCATTTATATTATTATAATTACAACGATCACTAATTTTAATAAGAATTTTTCACAAATTAGAAAAAGTTCTGCAGGTTTTATAAAGTGAACGATTCTGAGGCTAAGCGCCGCAACAGTCAACGTAGACCTCGAAATTGCAAATAATTCCGAGCATTGGTATAAACGCAAGAATACAAATAACAACAAAAAAAACATAGGTATTAATGTCAAACTATTGGCGTATAAAGAAAAGTTTATGTTCCTTGTATAATATTCCTAAGGAAAAAAAAGAAAAGTTCTTTCATCGAGTGTGAGGGATCTTAAAAAACATGTGGACATGTCGACATGAAGGGCGAAATGAACAGGAATCTTCATAATACGGAATTCAGAGCACGACTGTGATTTACCGGCGCAATTCTGTTTCGTTTCTGCAAGTCCTGTCAGACACTTGAAGCACAATCTGTAATTATGCACGACATTCCGTATGAAAAGTACGAAAAAGTAGGAAATATGAGAAATTTTGAGAAGCTCATTTTTTATAGGCAAAAATGCGATAAACGCTAAACGGCCCTTACATTTGATATTTACGTGTTTGTAGGAGTTGCGTTCGACATTATTACTGCGCATTTATAGGGGGTTGCTTTTCACCCGAAAAGCGTACCGGTTTTACACAAAAAACACGTGCGACCTACGAGAAAGAAATACGTGTTACATGTACTAGCCGCGTATATATGTAAGACACAATAAATAGTCAATTGTTTCATATAAAGTCTAAATAAAGTAAAATGAGACACTATTTGTGCGCGAAGTATCCTTCTCCTACTCTTTTCCGTTTTGGTGCTGCGCGACAGTTTTTGGTATTCTTCTGGTGATTTAACCGAGATGTTCTTGAGGCACGTAGATTTTTATTTCAATACGTTCAATCCTAAATAGCACAATCAAAAATGAAATATATGTATATATATTACATATTCGTGTAGACACAAATCTCAAGTATTATTTTAAAAATACAAGTAAAGTCTAAATTCCATAATAACATCACTGTAGCACGGAATCTTCAGGTTCAGGTGTAATATCACCTATATATGTATATAATATATGTATAATAGAGATGTAGTATAATAGAGTCGTTCAGAGTGTAACATAACTTGATTAAAATTTATAATATATAAACGACAGTTTATATCAACAATGAATGATTTGTGGACATAAACATTCTATAGAGCTTGTCCATCGTAATATCTGAAATTTCAAAAAACGGTTACGCGAATTGTTTAAGTTCCATTGCCTATATTATCATAAAATCGATTGTTCCCTATCAATTACTTCGTTAATTATACTGATGATATTGCGCAACGCTCGCCTCCATGAGCGAAATGAACGAGAATCTCATCTGATCTACAGATGCAAGTGAATTTTAAATTCGCAGTCGCGCAAACGACCCCTAATCTTACCGTAAGTCATTAACAACGTTATCGATACAAATATCGCATAATATGAACTTCAACGGTTACTTCAAACTCAAATTTGAGCGTATCACTAATAAAAAAAATTAAAATACGTACTTTCGTCAACGTATATATACTCCATTGCGTCAAACCTACTCACATATACAAAGTGAAAAAGAATCGATTATAAATAACGCAATGCATCAATAAAAAAAGATTATATGGTTCTTGAACGAACGGATAATCTCTATATAGATAATAATTAAATACATAACACGAAAAAAACCTGTACAATTTTACACATGCCACCTCAGTGATTTAATCCCTCAATGTTTAAAAATATATGTTTGCAATCTACAAAAATGATTAAACAATATATATATATATATATATATATATATATATATATGTGTGTGTGTGCGCGTGTGTATATATATATATATATGTGTGTGTATATATATATATATATATATATATATATATATATATATATATATATATATTAGAGTAACACAACCATGACTTTAATAACACACACAGAGAACAGAATATAAAATTCTCACGATTGTTATAAAACGCTGAAGCTATAATCTTTATTTTGACGTATCCAATATTTCTATGGATAGTTATAAATATTATAATGACAAAGTTAAAACATAATGGATTGATCACATAAAAAGGAGAATATTCTATAATAAGAATATTCACAGAATATTACCTTGTAACATTTTACTATATAACCGGAAGTTTTACGTAAATTATAATCTGTTCTACTTTCTATCAATGGATATGCTTAACTTCTTTATATATATAATAATATTTATATACTAGTAAACAATGCAATCCACTGGTTCATTGATGATGGATTCATTTAACGGATCAAGAGCCTTCATAATAATAGTAAAAAAGAAAAAAACTATACATATATAAGGTTCTATTGATGTACAACCACATTAAGAAAACCACAAAGCATATAAGAGTCGTAAATTAGATGTACGTCTGACGCTATCAAACATCATTATCTTCTCATTATCTTTTCATTCTAATAATTACTCGCACTGACATCCAGCGAAATATATGCCTTATATGCCTTATAGTTCTCTTAATATGAAAAGAAAAAGAAAAAATGATAACGTTAATGCCCCTAAATGTATTTTACTTTCACATTAAAATTAGGAACAAAACCGTAAAAAAACTCCTCGGGTTTCCCACTCGATATATTCTCGTGTCTTTAAAAATGCCTGTTAAGAACACACGAATATCGTTACATACATACTATCTGGGAGTATCAAACTGAGATTCGTCCAGAATAACGAGGAAACTACGAAAATGCGCATCTTAAGTTTATGTGGATACGTTATGCAATAATTGAGAGGCAGAATTCAGAAGGCCTAGCCGCTGTTTCTGCTTTCGTTGCTCCGTCATCTGTAATGAGAGAAAGCAAAAGAAATTACGACTTTTGTACGGATATACAGTAGATAATTTAATATTTTCATACATAATATAATATAACACCTGATCACGAAGCTCCATGAGTTGTTGGGACAAACATTTTACTAACTGCTGCGTAGATTCCAATTGCGACTGCAAACTTCTTAATTCCACTTGTTCTCCTTCACCCTCGTCCGCAGCTAACGACTTGGCTCGCAATCTCGGGAACCATTCCAGATTCCTGTCCTGTGAAAGTACATAGAGCTTAAAGGTATAAGCATCGCTCAAATTTTTCAAGCTCTATGAACTATTACCTTGACCATCATATAAACGTAAGATTCTGGGCCCGTGAATTCGGTCGGATCCTTCACCTTCACCAAGACGATGAAATAAAGGTAATGCCACATGTTATGCTCGTGTTTCACGTGCTCCTCGAAGGAAACTATTTTGTTGTCAAAAGCTGATCGGTTCAAGCCTGTAAAAGATTTATAATGATTTAATGAAATCATAAAATATAATTTTACACATTATGTCTTTCAGAGTATAATAAAGAAATAAAAAGATAATATGTCGATTCTAATAAATACTTACCACAAATGAAACAAGTATTTTTCAAAATCAGTTCCTTCTGTTGTTTCTCCGATCTAAGATCCGCGAAGGTGTCAATGATCACACCAAAAATGAGATTCAAAACAATAATTATCACGATGAAGAAGAATAGTAAGTCATATACAACTCTCGCGAAAAACAATGGTTCCTGAAACGACAGAACAGGTGAAAATATAAAAGGCAAGTTATCTTGTATACGTAGTCTTATACTTATACTACTTACAACACTGGTGGGTGCTCGTAGAATATCTCCGATTCCACCTCCATTTCTTAATCCTTGGTTCAATGTAGTAACGATACACATGAGAAGTGAGTCGCACGATCGTTCTTTCAAATCTCCGCCGATACTGATCACCTCAGGTTTGTTTTCTCGTTCGTTTACTGTAATATAAGACAATTTATTTTAACATTTTACCATATTATTTCTACACTTAAATAAATATAATTTATATATATTTATACCATATTATATTTAGTATAAATAAGTATAAATATAATAATATAAAAATATAGCTTATATTATGCTTGTAATAAATTAAATTATACCAACTTTCGCGTGCATATTGCGACACAGTCTCTGTTGCTTCACATTTCTCTTTGTTATCTGCGCTGCAGGTATCTACGGATTTCTGTTCAATGTAAGCTGAAATTGTAAAATAAATGAAATGAATAGTTTATAAACAAAAGTTTATGAAATCAAATACAACTGTATAAATTTTGACACAAGAGACGAAAGATTGAACTTACATATAATTTCTTCGTCTACGTTAACGAGGAAGTCGTCTTTGAAGAACATAAAACCGATAAGGGAAAACATGTAAACCAAGATCAAAGCTAACACAGCAGTGAGTATAATAGATCTTCCATTCCGAGTTACGGATTTTATTACATTGAGCAAAGTCTCCTCGCGATAAACCACGTCGAAGAGCTGAAAGAAATAATAACGTTATAATATACATTATATGTTGTGTGAAAAGCGCTATGCAAAAACAAATGATCTGTGGTACTTACTAAAACTGAGTAGAAAAACGGATGCATAAAAATCCCCAGAATACAGAATATTAAATACGATAAGTGATACAAAATTTCGATATTAGTTATTATTTGCTCTATACTTTTAGTCAGGGTACCCTGATTACCTATAATACTTATAAGATGTACAACTTTTAATACAATCTGCAACAAGCATACAATAAAACATGAATAAAACAGTCGAAAAATATAAGATATATTGTAATTATAGTATAAAGCGTAAAGTGCTTTTACCGTAACAAAACAAAGTAACCACAACGTCGGTTCAGGACCTATAGACATAATCAATCGCAGTATCGTTGATGCGACTAACACACGTATACCGGACTCCCTCGGTAAAGTAATAACAATAGCGGCAGACGCGAGCATAACGGTCCAAATTAAAGCTGATATATGAGAATTAAATTCTGAGGAGAATGTTGAAATGTTATCAGTCACATATCAAAAGATAATTCTAAAGACTTAATTAATAAAAACTTACTAGGCACAGAATCCACAAACGGATAGAAAAACGCTATGATAAGATTTATCAGAACGGCGCAATTGAATAAAATATTACTCCATAATGACATATAACTGCTCATCCAGAATAACATCGGTTGTCCTAAAAATTAAAGGAAGAAATTGATTCGCGTGTCATCAAAACTATCAGCATTGATCTATCGTAACTTGATATACCTCTAAGCTTCTTCTGCCACTTCATTTCATTAAACATATCTTCCGTTCTTTCAAAGAAATCGGAAACCTTCGATCCTTGGTCGTCTCGCTCCGTGGTATTGAGCACTTTTATTTTCGTGTCCACGGTTATGAGCTCGCAAATCTCCGGGATTGGAAAGACGATTTGTTCAAGCGTTCTGTCGTGCCTAACGATCTGAGACGAACAAAATATTTAGCGCCAAATTTTTGTAAGAATCATCTATTAGAAATCACATTATCACAGGTACCTCTATCTGAGCTGTATGGGATGCATAATATTGCAATGCTTTGTTAATTTTCGGGTCCGCGTTGTTTTGTTCAGACGGCTTCAGCATCGCCGCCAATTCCTTGTTGTGTTGCGCCAATTGATGGCATAGAATGTATATGTTATGTCCAACCTGTAATATAAATTGTGATCAAATTATTAATAAAATTGATAAACTACTGATATCACAGACGCAAAAATTGCATAAAACTAAAGCAGATCACAACGTTTAAATGCAATACTATCAAACAATTGAAAATTAATTACTTCTTTAGGTGACACTCCTTCTTCCCCGTTTGTCGAGGAATCGTCGACGTCGTTGCTGTCGTTCAGCGATTCCTGATGGAAAGCCTTGCAAGCCACATCTACGAGCTGCTTCGGATTCATGTTATACATAATCCTCTCGGCGTTCTCGCTGTCGCCTCTGCTCTCCATTATCGCCAACAGTAACTTGCTAGCGTTATTCTTCAACTCCAGCACTAAATCCATCCTGGTCTTTTCCAGAGGATTGATGTCGTTCAGTATCAACGCCGTTATAATGTCTAGACCGTTGGACTCGTGCGTCGCGATGCAATTTTGATTATCATGACACGGTCCTTGACAATACTCCGTCAACGTTTCTAAAGTTTGATTAATCAGCGCTACGTTATATTCATTAATATAGAGACCGAGGAGTCCCAGTCCACCGGTGGTCGAGCCGCAGATACAGTCCAAAAACATGAGCGTCTCGGACACCAAGTTGAAGTTCGTCTTGTTATTCTGATTTCGTAGGAAATTCTACAAGAACGGAGATTATTGATTGACATATTACGGACCCCGAATATATATATATATATATATATATATATATATATATATATATATATATATATATAATTGCAATATTTTACTCGAACTTAAAAAATATAATTAATAAACACACTAGTAATAAAAAACGGGCCGTATTTCAGTCTAAAGAAGAGAATCAACGTTTTCGTTCGTCAAACTCTTTCGCTGGAAAAATTAAAAACGTTGATTCACGGGTTCTCGCAACGTATCAATATCTCACCATATCTCAATATATATACGATATAATAAAGAGACAAAAAACATTACCTGTAGTTCTCTATTGTGATTCTCGCAAAGCAATTGCAAGAAACGCAGAATCGGCTGCATCACCAAGACTTTAGCGCTCAATTGACCCTCGTCCTTCTCGGCTCCGGAGACACTTTTGTTATGCCTCTCTAATTTTTCGCTTATGTCCTCCAACGAGCATCCGAACGCCACGTTATTCGCCACATCCTCGCCAGACGAGAGACCCTTCATGTTTGCGTACGCTTGTCCGTTCGACGCTGCGGCCTGATTCATCTCTTCACGTAATTCGTCGATTATCACGATTCCGTTAGGTTTTCCTGCACAAATATATAATGAGTGTTTTATTATGAAGAGGTAATTATCTTGGATGTTCACAGCAATACACATAACATTGAAATTACTGTCTTAGTAACAGTGTCTATTTTATCTTATACCTGATCCACGTTTCCGCGATAACTTATCTACTTCTTTACCCTGCTCCTTATCCTCGTGCGCTTTGGCTGCCATGTCGGATGTATTTACTGTCACAGTGGATTTGATCTCTTGCTGGGAATCTTTCATTTTATCGTAGAACACCTGTGCGAGGGACAATAATGGTCAACGCGTCTACGTGCCGCGACATAACGATTTTATCGCATCTCACATACCTTGAAGAACGATTGACTTAAGTCACCACCCATTAATTTATTAAAGACACTTTTCTGTATAATAGGATTTCCGCCTTCCAAGAGAGCAATGCCCAATTCCACGGCTTCTACAAATATGCTTGGCGAGTGTACGCTCTTGATCACCAATTCCACCACTAAATCCGAAGCACCTTCGCGGTCGAGATGTGTCTGCACATCATGCAACGTTCTACCAGCTCGGCTTAGTATCTTCGCTGTAAACGACAATTCGTCTTAGAGAAGCAATACAAAAAATACACCACGAATCGTAAATTCTATTAATAATATCATGTAACTTACCTCCTGGGCCATGAGTGATGGTCGCACTACGGCAAACACCAATGTCTACATTCTCCGGTTTTTGCATAAAACTTTTGCCAAAATAACGCGTCAGAAGAATATTTCTCAATGCATCTCCCTGCGAAAAAGAAGAGTATTTTTCAGCATCAGCGTTCTACTACAAGTTTGAAACGATAGAACGATGTACCAATACACAATGCACAACAATAATAAAAAAGGTCTAGTACACGTTATGTGGATATTCCTTTCATGTATATTCACAAATTCTACCGTATAATTATCCGAGAGAAAAAATTATATATAATCATATAAAATTATATATGATTATATATAAATTATATATGAATTTTTTTGTCTATATATAATCACATATATAATCATATATGTCCACACAGAAAAAAATGATGTCGAATGAAAAAGAGAAGAAATAGTTTTATTCAGTTAAACATCGATATCATGTGCTGACAGAAACATAAACATTTACTTCGATTGCATTTATACAACAGTATTTTTCGTTTGTGGACATATATAATGCGTATATAATATGCGTAATTATATACGGTCATACATAAACAAAATTCATGTATAATCTTTTTTCCCCGGATATATATACACACGCTCGGATTTGAATTGTATATTTACACAGTCGGTGCTTTATGTACTTCAAAGTATTTTGCAAAAATACTTGTGCAATTTGGGATGCGTGTGGAAGATCATATTGTGAATTAATCGCATTGGAAAATCGCATTGCAAGATATAAAATTCCTGTAACTCGAGACGAAATATATGGATAAAGTGCAACGTCTACAAGAGAAGAGACGAGGATGAAGTTAAAATGTAATTGCAAACAACATTCGCATATTTAGATATTAAAGACCAATAAAGATCGTACCAGATTAGAGATTTCAACAAACGATTATATCTATGCAAAAAATGTAAGTTAACAATATCTGTGTAATAAAGTGTAAAATTATATTTATAAATACTGCAATGTGATTCTGGGGTAAAACATGTAAGAATAAACAATGGTAACACACATATCCTGGATATTATGCATACAATGATATTTTTAGTATATCAAAGTTTAAGTCTGTATTCAAAATGTACGTGTACGTCAAGAGTATTCAACTATCTAGCAATAACATTCATGTTATTGGAGTAAGGAGCTAATAAAAATAAATCTTCGCATTCACAGTATACATGACTTCAGTCTAATATTGTTAAAAGAATAAAATATAATATATATATTGTAATTATTATGTAGTTGATATGTAATATCATTAAAATATAAAATCTATCATTGTATTGGTACATCTTACTACATAACGTATACGTTTATATCTATCTATGAAAGCTTTTCTGTTAATTTCTATCTTTTCTTTTAATAATATTGAATAATATTGAAGTATATTATATATATATATATATATATATATATATATATATATATATATATATATATATATATATATATT